CGCCACCGCGAGCCGCACGGAGCTGCCCGCACACACCGCTGCATTCTTCAAGGGCCGCAGGAAGACCGGCGCTCCGGCCACAGCCCCTGCCGCTGGGGCCCCTCCGCCGGCCCCCACCTTGGCCCTCTTCGGGGGCACTCCGGGGCTGGGGGGTGCCCTCGTGCCCGCGTCCTCGCCTCGCGTGCCCCGGGCTTTCTGCATGGCTTCTGCGAACTGGGCTGGGGGAACGCTGGAACCGGCGGCCACGGGGGCACCCAGGGATGGGGCCCTGGGCAATGAGTCCTGGGGGCCCGGCGGCCTGCCTTCCTGCTGCCCGCCCGCCTTCGGCCTGTGCTACCCAGAAGGTCACCAGGGCGGCCGGTGGTTGCGCCTCGGGGGCTATTTTTAGGGCCCCCGGCTCGGGTTTCGAGGGAGTTGTGGAGGGAGGGGGCAGCAGAGGAGGGGACTTGGACTCCACTCTGCTCCTTTCCCTCCAGGAGCCCCCTTGGTCATCCCAGGCTTGGAGGAGTCCCTGGGGGTTTGCTCCAGGCTCCCTCTGCCATGGTGCACCTGCCCCCCAACCAACCCACTCAGGGAGTCGGGTCACCCCTGGGCTCAATCCTATTTCCCCTCCTCCCTCCTCTCAGGCCCCATCCCCAGTCTCAGCTACTGAGAAGAGGAAGGGTCCTGATGAGAGGCCTGAGGGGTGGATGGGGGAGGCAAGCCCCAGTAGAGGTGAGCAGACCCGGGCCTCCTCCCTCAGGGCCTCCAGCACAGCGGGTGGACAGTAAGACCAGGAGCGCTGAGTCCGCGGATTCAGGCTCCCAGCCAGTGTAGCCCTTACTTGCTGGGTGACAGGGAACCTCTCTCAACCTGGAGTCCTCGTCTGTCAAATGAATACCCTTAAATAGGGTTGTAATGGGAAAAAAGGGGGTGGAAGCCACCCCAGGCAGAGGGACTAGCATGAACTAAATGAGAGCAATGATGAAAGTGAATGATGTGTTCTGGGAAGCAGAGGCATTGGGGGGATTGCACTGCAGTGGGTGGGGTTGGTGGGGAAAGAGAGATGGGGCCTCTCCTAGAAAGTCGTGGTTGCTGAAGTCTCTATCCTGAAAGCAGGGGGCCACCACACGGTTTTATGCAGCAGGCTAACCCATAGGAACTGTGTGTTCGGAGGACCCCTCTGGACACCACAGTGTGGATTATAACCTGGGGATGGAGGTCAATTAGAGCAATGGTTCTCAAAAGATGGAGCCTATTCAAAGATTCCTGGGTCTCACCCCAGAGACTGTGGCTTGAGGGTAGAAGGACTGGAAGTGACCAGGAATCTGCACATTTAATGAGTAGCTTAGGTGCTTTCGAAGTGTGTAAGGGTTGCACTTTAAGAAACATCAAGGGGCCAGGAGGTGGCGTGGTGGTTAAGGCGCTAGAATTCCCACATGACCAGCTGTGGTTCAAGTCCCGGACCTGGTGGTTTGCTTTCTCACTCTCCCTTGCTTACCCTCTGTCTTTCTCTGGCAAAACTCATGTAAAATAATAATAATTATTATTATTATTTAAAATAAAATCTAAAAAAAGAAACATCAAGGGGCTGGCAGGTGGGGTGGTGTTTGAAGAGTTGGATTCCCGCATGGCTGACCATGGTTCAAGTCCTGAACTTGGCGACTTGCTATCTCACTCTCCCTTTCTGTCTGTCTGTCTCTCTCTCATAAAAATGGAAGAATAATGATAATAAATAAAATTTAAAATAAATCTTTTTTAAAAAAAGAAACATCAAGATAGGACATTACCTCTTACAAGTCCAGATGAGGGATGACCCTGTAGTGTAGCAGTTAGTGCCCTGTGCAGAGGGAGCCAGATCCCACAGGGCCAACCATGGTTCAAATCCTCGCCCCAATGGCTTGAAAAACATGCCGTATATGTGTGTGTGTGTGCATATGCCCAAGATCCTGAGGGGATGGTGAAATGGGGCAAATAGGATTGCAGCATGGGTGGGTCCCATCACAGAGGCAGGTATGTGTTTGTTCTCCCTCTCTCTCCCTCTCTCTCTGTCTCATGCACGTGCATACCCTCTGGCATATTTTATAAAAGCGTGTTATAGCAGTCATGTTACAGCAATTGTGTATCTTAGCTGTGGTGGTGGGTGCATGAATCTATACAAATGATAACATTGCATAGAACTGAAAGTGCTCACTGTGCATGTGTACTAAAGAGTGCATGTAAGGGGCCAGCAGGTGGCATGGTGGTTGGGTCAGCCCACATGGCTGACCATGGTTTGAGTCCCAGACCTGGCGGCTTGCTTTCTCACTTTTCACTTTCTCTCTCTGGTCAAACTAAATAAATAAAATGGAATGAATAATTATTTTTTAATTATTTATTTTATTTTATTTGTTATTATTATTATTTTTTTAATTTGACTAGAGAGAGATAGAAAGTGAGAAAGCAAGCCTCCAGGTCCAGGACTCCAATCATGGTTGGCCATGTGGGAGTCCAGCACCTCAACCACCACACCACCTGCTAGCCCCACAAATAATTCTTAAATTAAAAATAAATAAATAAAAGAAAAAAAAGAGTGCATGTAAAGTGAGAAATCTGAAAGAGTTGGCTGGACAATGTCACTTTTCTGGTTGTGATATTGTATGGGGGAGGGGACTTCAAAAAGTTCATGGAAAAGGTGTATTATGAAAAACTGTGGCTTTCAATATTTTTTGCACCAAGATAAACTCATACTTTAATTTAGTTTTCCGAGCTATTTTTTTAATTTGCCAGAGGCCATGTGCATTCACTAGAGGGGAGGGGGGAGAGAGAGAGAGAGAGAGAGAGAGAAAGCACTCTCCATGGAGAATGCTCACCCTACAATCCCTTCTCCTCCATTTCTCTTTTGGAGATGTTTGGGCATGCATGCACACACACCCAGTATGTTTTTCAAGCTGCTAGGGCTGGAACTGTAATTGTGCAGTCAGTGCCAGGGATCCTGCTGCCTTAACCACTGGGCGGTAGGCTGGCCCTCCAAGAACTCTCTGATCCCTTTGTAGTATTTCTTTCTTTTTTAGATTTTTGCCATAAGGCACAAACGCTTACTGGAGACAGAGAGGCATAGTGAGAAATTACCCCCCACAGGGTGATGGCCATGCCACAGTCCCTTCTCCTCCACTACCCTCCAGGGATTTTAGTTACCCACGCACACACGTGCGCGCACACACACACACACACACACACACACACAAGTACCCAGTGTGATTCTCAAGCCACCAGGTCTGAGACTAGAACTAATGTTGGCCATGTGGGAATCCACTGCCTTAACCACCATGTCACCTGCTGGACCCTCTTTGTATTATTTCCTTCTGTTTTTGTTTGTTTGTTTGTTTGTTTGTTTTTAGAATGATTTTATTTAACTTTATTTATTTATTTTAATTTTCAGAGAGAGGCAGAGTAAGAGAGAGAGAGGGAAAGTGAGAAGGCAAGCCACCAAGTCTGGGATTTGAACCATGGTCAGCCATGTGAGAGTCCAGTGCCCTTACCCACCATACCATCTGCCAGCCCCCTGTATTATTTCTTACAACCACAGGTTAATCTATGGTTACCTTGAAATAAAAAGTTTAATAAAAGGGGTCAGCAGGTGGCGTGGAGGGTGCTGGACTCCTATGTGGCCAACTGCAGTTTGAGTCCCGGACCTAGTGGCTTGCTTTCTCACTCTCCCTCTCTCTCTCTGTCTCTCTTTGATCAAATTTTATAATAATAATAAAGATAAACAAGGTTAAATAAAATAATTCTTTAAAAGAAGAGTTAAAAAAAATAGAAATCTAGGTGAGAGAGCTAGGCCTGACCTTGAGTCCTGAAGATGGAGCCCAAGGAGGTTTAGAGGAGTCATGAGTCATTCGGAGACAGAGGAAAGGACTTCTACTTCTGCCTCCTCATCCCCACCCTCTTGCTGGGATAAGAATCAAAGTGTGTGCACACATGCATGCGTGTGTGTGTGTAGAGGGTACAGAAGAAACAGTTTAAACAGTGGATTATGTCCATAGAGATTAGAAACATTGAGAAGCTTTTTTTTTTTAGTTTGCATACATTAAAGCTTACCTCGTGAGGTGCAAGTCTCTGGGCTCCGACAAATGCGTCAAATCTTGCATCTGCTACCCCAGGATCACACAGAGCAGCCCCCCCTACATATTTGCTTGTGCATCCCTTTCATAGTCAACCACAACACCTCCACCAACCCCTGGCAAGAGGAACTGAGTTCTAAAAGGTGAAAGTGTGAGGGAAGGCATGGAACACCAAGAACAAAGGAATAGAGACTTTTTTAAAACTAGTAACACCAAACCAAGTAACATAGTGCCTCAACCTTTAGTGTGGAATGCAGTGGGTGGTCGGTCGCTGGTCCGTTGAATACATGAGCCTTGTGATCTTGAGCAAGTGACTTAACATCTCTAAGCCTGTCTCCTCCTCCATACCATGGGGATAGCTCAACTCAGGGTTTATAGATTCATTCACTTAACATGCATTTCTGAGTTCCCGCTCTATGCCTGGCACTGGTTTCAAGACTAGAAATATAGGAGTGAACAAAGATTCTGACTCCTCGCATTCCTTATGTTTAAGAAGAGAAGACACACGACTAGTTTAAAGAAATAAAGAAATTGGGACGGTCCTGAGAAGAAGAGAACTGTGGAAAGAACTGAGCAGGGCAAGGGGGATGCGAGAGTGGTGGGTGGTTGCACTTCCACATAGGGTGGTCAGAGTCAGCACTGCTGGGAACATCCGAATGGATTGTAAGAGACTGGGAAGCAAATAACGCAGCCAGCCGCTTGGGGAGGATCCCTTCCCGCAGAGGTGGGCTCTGGGAAGAGCCAGAAAGCCAGTGAAGCTGGAGGGAGGGAGGCGAGAGTGGAGGGAAATGAGTCAGACAGGTAGCAGCAGCCAGATGGCCTAGCAACTTGCAGGCCATGACGCTTTTATTCTTAGTGAAAAGAGAAGTCATCTTGGGGTTTTGAGCAGAAGAATTACATGGTCTGACTTACGTTGTTGTGATGGCATTAAATTATTATATTAAATATTAAAACAAATATTAACTATTTAAAAGGACCTGGCACAGAGCCTGGAACACAGCTTGTCTCCTGTCTTCCTGTGTTTCTGAGGGACGCATTCACTGATTTGCATGCAAGGATCTGTGGCCTGGGGTAGCCAGGGCACAGGTCACTGGCGCCCTCTCCTGGAAGAGTCCGCACTAGCAGCGACAGCTGGAGGGCATCAGGCTCTGGCCAGGCCAGTGGCCCAGGGCAGCTGGCTGCAACATGCTCATCTGTCCCTCAGCACCAGCCTCACAGTGTCCCACAGCCTGGCGCCGGGCAGGGCGTGTGTGCTGCCAGTCTGCCCTGCCTTTCGATCACAAGCCTATGGTGTCATGGAAAGAGATCTGGGCTCTGGAGGCCCATGAGCCTGGAGCCCTGTCCTTCTTGGCTATCAAATGCTGTGTGACCTTGGCAGGTCACCCCACCTCTCTGGGCCATGGGGCATTTCCTCTAAGTCATGATGATGTTCCAGAATGATGTACCTGGCATGTGGGAAAATTTGAGAAATCGTTCCTCGAAGCAGTGAGTGAAGTGGGGCTTATCAGCCCTTCCCGATGATATCGTTTACTGTAGAGGAAAAGTATTGGGTTGTCTGAAAGTCATGATGTATTTTTTTCTATGTTTTTCTATGCGAAAGCGCGTCATGCCTTTTCTGACAACCCAATAAGTAAAAATGCCCAGTGGATATTCATTCAACAAGTATTTAAATATTTAATGAGCACCCACTGTGTACCAAGGACTCTTCTGGACACCACAGATACAGTAGTGAATAAAATGGATAAAACCCTACCCTGGGGTAGCTGACATTTTAGGTGTGAATCAAAGGTCCTTGACACATTTGCATATGCGCCCTGGGCAGGCTTGTGGTGAGAAGGGAGGAAGGTGCCTGGATAGAGTGGGGCAGGGGTCTCCAGGGATGTGGGGCGTGGGGAGTAACCAGAGCAGACAGACAGGGTAGGACAGCACCCACACAGTCCTCAGTTCAGGTAGGGCCTGTCAGCCTCCACCGGCCTTCCTGCTCCAGCCCCTCAGAAGCAGCCAGAGCTGTTCTGGGCCTGGTGCCTGGTCCAGCAGGAAGCCAGTCAGCCTTCTGTGAACCCTCTGATTTCTTGATTTTGTAGGGTCTCGAAGGACAGAACGCCAGAGTGTCCCAAGGAGCAGGGCCAGGTTTTCCATGGAGATGATGATGTGTGTGTGGGGTGTACATTGAAGATCTGGTTGTACGTTTATGACCACATCGGACTCAAACCTTTTTTGGTTTGTTTCTGCCCCATTCCCTGGGTTCCCTGGCTCACTGCCAGCTCCTGGGGAGGCAGACAAAGCTTTGCTGCAGTGGGCTCTGCTCAGAGAATGCTTCTCCCTGAGGGCAGAGGGTGGCTCTTGGGGGGGGGGGGGGGGCGGGGGT